ACATTCCTGCCAATGTGTGCACGCAGAGGCAGCAGCTGATGGCTCAAGTGTTTGGGCCCTGGCACCTGTGTCAGAGACCTGGGCTGAGTTCTGGTTTCCTGGCCCTGGCCTAGCTGTTGGTGGGCATTTGAGAAGTGAACCATTGGATGATTTATATATTTTTTAAAAGATTTATTTTTATTGGAAAGGCAGATATACAGAGAGGAGAGACAGAGAGGAAGATCTTCCGTCCGATGATTCACTCTCCAAGGGAGCACAATGGCCGATGCTATGCCAATCTGAAGCCAGGATCCAGGAATTTCTTCCAGGTCTCCCACGCGGGTGCAGGATCCCAAAGCCTTGGGCCATCCTTGACTGCTTTCCCAGGCCACAGGCAGGGAGCTGGATGGGAAGTGGAGCTGCCGAGATTAGACCTGGCACCCATATGGGATCCCGGGCGTACAAGGCGAGGACCTTAACCACTGCGCCATCACACCGATGGCCCGATTTACATTTTTTTAAGTGAAAATTAAAAAATAAAACTTAGATTGTATCCTGTATGACCAAGATATGGACAAAGGGTAAATCTTTTAATAATGTTCCATATGAGGGTCTTAAAAAAAATCTTACTGCTTTTCATTTTTTATATTGCATGTTGGCCAAATTGTGGGTAATACTAGCCAAAAGATGGCATATATTGTTGAATATTTACTTATATGGGAAGGTTCTAATGATATAGAAGCTTAAAACTATATGTGCCCAAATTGAGTTTATGAAAAGATGATTTTGCTGATACATGACAGTAATTACACTAAAATACTTGCAGGAGTTGCACTGTGGGGTTGGGGTGGCCATGTGTTGCACTATTTGGGGCCCCTGATTTGTCTAATATATTCCCTGCTGAGTTTTTAAAATACTTTGAGGGATAATTGACACTTTTTAAAGCACTTTTTAAAACTGTACAATTGGATAAGGTTGGGCATAAATGTATAGCTCTATGCAGACAGCCCCCGGTGCACTAAAACACGGACCGTGTCCAGCACCCTCCACGGGCCTCCCCCTCTCGAGGCCCTCCACGCCCAGGCAGCTGCTCACCTGCTCTGTCGCATTCTTTTACAATTTTGAGTAAATGGAATCATTCCACATGCTTTGTCTGCTGCTTTCACTCAGGTTAATAAGAATCCTGTGATTTATGCTGTGCTGTCAGGTGTATCGAAAGGCCTCTCCTCCTTTACCACTGGACAGCACTCCTTTACACAGTAGGGCTGTGTGCAGACCCAGTTCACCCGTGGATGGATATGTGGGCTGTTTCAAGTTTGCTTTTTTTTTACCATTACTAAAAGCTGCCCTGACCATTTGCGTTCAAATCATTCTATGAATGTGTGCGTTTCATTTCTCTTGGATCAGACACATAGGAGAACAGGTGAGCAATCTGGCATGTACATGTTTAACTTCTTGGGAAATTGCCACTCCGTCTTCTCAAGCGGTTATGCCACTATGCCTGGCAACCAGTAATAGATGAGAATTCAGGAGCCCAGTGCGATAACCTGGTGGCTAAATCCTTGATTTGCATGTGCCAGGATCCATATGAGCACTAGTTTATGTCCTGGCTACTCCGTTTCCCATCCAGCTCCCTGCTTGTGGCCTGGGAAAGCAGTCGAGGACAACCCAAAGCTTTGGGACCCTGTACCCATGTGGGAGACCCAGAAGAAGCTCCTGGCTCCTGGCTTTGGATCAGCTCAGCTCTGGTCACTGCAGCCACTTGGAGAGTGAACCAATGGATGGAAGATCTTTCTCTCTGCTCTCCTTCTCTCTGTAAATCTACCTTTTTAATAAAAATAAATATAAATCTTTTATTTTAAAAAGAGTACGGATAGTTTTGTGTTGCTCATAAGAGGTTTTTTTTTCATTTGGATGCTTATTTATGATTTTCAAATTTTCTGCAATGAAATACAGCTTCCATAGTCACAAAAAAATTGTTTAACTGGAGCACGCACAGTAAGGCAGCCTGTTGCCATGCACCAACGGGGTCTGGAGAGTCTCCTCCCAAAGGAGCCGGGAGGGCTGGCTGTGCCACCTGCAGAAAGTCCCCTTCAAATAGAAATCACTTATGGGAACACAGAGTGCCAGAAAAACAGATTCCCCATCCACTGGTTCAACTTGCCAGATGTCCACACCAGCTAGGTACCCAGAACTCCATCGGGGTCTCCATGTAGGTGCAGAGCCCCAATCATCTGGGCCACCTTCACTGCTTTCCCTAGGCACTTTAGCAGGGAGCTGGATGGAAAGTAGAGCAGCCAAGACTCAAACTGGCAATTCTAATATAGGATGCCAGAAGCACAAACAGCGGCTTAGCCCCCTAGACCGCAACTCCAGCCCCAATATTAATTTTGTTTGAAAGAGTCCAGGTAGTGGGGGTAGAAACAGAAAAGTCTCTGCTGGTTCACTCCACAAATGGCTCCCACAGCCAGATCTGGTCCATTTATCTGGTTCTCCCACATAGGTGTAGAGGCCCTAGCATTGGGGCCAACTACTGCTGCTGTCCCAGGCCTAACACCAGGGAGCCGATGGTGAAGTGGCGCAGCCGGGACTCCAACTAGCACTCATATGAGATGTGTCACAGGAAGCAGCTTTACCCACTATGCCACAATACCGGCCCCTTCCCTAACTCTCACCTTTACATCAATTTGCTTTTCAATGCTATAACCACACTGAGGCTGTAAGAAAAGGTTAACTACACACAAGCCTCCTCTTGTTCTAGCATGTGTCTCCTTGCTCCTTGTCTGTTTCAGCCCTTATCCATCCAGAGTTCAGAGTTCTTACACACTATTCTGTAGTCTATATCTTTATCTTTTAAACATTTATAGGCCCGGTGCAACAGCCTAGTGGCTAAATCCTCACTTCGCATGTGCTGGGATCCCATATGGGTTCGGGTTTGTATCCAGCTGCCCTGCTTCTCATCCAGCTCCCTGCTTGTGGCCTGGGAAAGCAGCAGAGTGTGGCCCAAAGCCTTGGGACCCTGAACCCGCATGGGAGACCTGGAAGACGCTCTAGGCTCCCAGCTTCGGATTAGCTCAGCTCTGGCCATTGCAACCATTTGAGGAGTGAACCAGCGGATGGAAGATCTTTCTGTCTTTCCTCTCTGCAAATCTGAGTTTCCAGTAAAAATAAATAATCTTATATAAATATAAGATTTTTATATATAATTTATTATATATGATTATTTTTTATATATGAGTTATTATAAATATTATGGCAGAATTACAAAGAGAAGGAGAAACCAAGGGAGAGGGCTCTGCTGACTCACTCCCCCAGATGTCTGCGATGACCAGGCTGGCCCAGGCTGAATCCAGGAGCTTCATCTCTCACATAGATTCACAGGCCCAAATACTTGCACCATCTTCAGCTGCTTTCCTGGCCGAATAGCAAGGAGCTGGACCAGCAGTGCAGCAGCCGGGACTCGAGCTAGCCCACACCTGGATGTCAACACAGCGGGCAGCAGCTTTACGTGCTACGCCACAGTGCCCACCTCTGTTCATCTTTTTTAAAGATTCATTTGAAAGAATGATAAAGAGGGAGACACAGAGAGAACTCTATCTTGCACCTGCTGGTTCACTCACCAGAAGGACCACAACAGCCAGCCAGGGCCAGGCCAGGGCCAGGATGTGGAATTCCACCCAGGTCCCTCATGTGGGTGGCGGGAGCCCAAGCACTTAGCCATCACCTTCCGCCTCGCAAGGTGCATGAGCCGGAAACTAGCTGCGAAGCCGAGGGGGACTAGGACTTGGCCCAGTGCTCCAGGGTGGAACGCCTGCGTTCTCAACAGTGGCTTAGTCCAATGCATCGCATGGCTACCCTAAGTATATTTTTTTAATGCATTTTAAAAAAAAAAATAAGCAGTCCTCAACTGCTTTCCCAGGCCACAAGCAGAGAGCTAGATGAGAAGAGGCACTGCCGAGACACAAACCAGCACCCATATGGGATCCCAGCATGTACAAGGCAAGACCTTTAGCCACTAGGCTACTGCACCAGGCCCCCTATGTAGCTTTATAAAGAATTTTGTTTTTTTTAAGATTTGCTTATTTTTATTACAAAATCAGATATAAAGAGAGGAGAGACACAGAGAGGAAGATCTTCTGTCCGATGATTCACTCCCCAAGTGAGCGCAACGGCTGGTGCTGTGCAGATCCGAAGCCAGGAACCTGGAACCTTCTCCAGGTCTCCCACACGGTTGCAGGGTCCCAAAGCTTTGTGCCGTCCTCAACTGCTTTCCCAGGCCACAAGCAGGGAGCTGGATGGAAAGTGGAGCTGCCGGGATTAGAACCAGAGCCCACATGGGACCCAGGCGCGTTCAAGGAGAGGATCTTAGCCACTAGGCCACGCCGCTGGGCCCTATAAAGAATTTTGTGCCAACAGTTGTATCATAAATTATTTTCCAAAATCTCTTGTGAGTTATTACCAAATTAGTAATTATGACACGTTAAGTTTGTTCCCCCCCCAAAAGCCTGTTATTCTTTCTAAATGTTTCCTATGATGAATACCCAGGAGTGGAATTTCTTGTCAAAGGCTAAAACATCCCAAAGGATGGGATAATGAAAGGAGAGGAGAGGAGAGGCGGGAAGGGCGGTGGAGGAGAGAAGAAGGGCAGGGTTGAGAGGCTGAGAGCAAGCGGGCTTCTTTTCCCTGGCTCAGTCCACCTCTGTCTGGGTCTACCACACACCTGAGTAGTAGAGGATGCTGGGCCAGCCTCTGCTGTCTGCGCAGGCGCATCAGCGCCTGGATCAGCCAGCTGGTCCACTGCACGCAGCTGCCTTCACGCACAGCAGCACAATGGCTCCCCCTACAGGCTGCGCTGATGTAACGGTAATGTCACTTTGCCAGGTGCCAGCCGCAGTTTGTACTTCCTGTGCATCCTAGCTTGAGCGCCCCTTGTTCTGACTTGCAGGATGATCTGCTGTCTGATTTTCTCCGGGATGTTCTGACCCCACTGCGCTGAGGGAGGATACTCTTTGTTTTCACAGAGCCTGGGGCCGTGACCCTTGACCCTCTCAGCGCTTGCCTGGCTGAGCCCATCCAGACCCCTGTGGCCGATATTGTAAAAAATACGTAAGTGTTCGAAACAGCAGCGCCAAGGACTTGTCTGCTTTCACTGTATTTTTCTTTCAACAATTTAGCTTCTATTCCCCACCACCACCCCCCGCCGGGACACATGAGCATTCTCAGCATGTTGGGACAGCTAGAATTAAGAGAAACAGATGGGAATGATTAAACTATGATCTACTGCATTGTGTGGCTGGGGTAGGTGGAGAGCCGAGTGCAACTCTGACATGCGGAAGCAGCTATGTCTGTAACTTTGAGGTTTATTGAGAGGCCTGGGAACCTGAGGTCAACCTGCGTCTCTGTTGAGCATTCACTCAGCTCTGGGTGATGGACCCGGAGAGGCAGCTGCAGCAGCAGATGCTAACGTGTCTGCCCTGTGTGCTCCCTGGGAGCTCGTTGCCCCAGGTGCCTTCTGGCTGCAGCACCAGGCGTGATCTTCCCTGGCTCCCCCTGGAACTAGAGCCCATCATGGCCTCCCACGAGCCTCGGTGGCTTGAGAAGCGGCCCACACCTTCCCAGTGCAACAAGGATTGCTGCTGGGGTCCAGAGCTTTCTCTTTCTGCAGGAGCAGAGAGGGAAAGGCACTTGCATGACCCAGACAGCCACTGGGGAAATGGTGCTGTTTGGTTTTTTTCCATTTTATTTTCATAGGGAGTAATTTTTCACAATGAGTTTAACAACACCCCAACACCTCCCCCCAAATAATAAAGAAATAAAAATAATTTTGGAAAACCCCAGGAGGACAAATATATATATAGGCACTCCATAAAAGTCATTATAGCCATTGAGCATAAATTTCAGACTTGACACAGGCACTCCTGAGCGTGAGCGTTTAAAAAGCAGAAAAAAAGGCAACACACTCAGGCTTGTCGTGTTCGCTGGTCGCACACTTGTTCCTTAGGGAAGAGCAAGGTTTGCTAGCACTGACGTCATCAGGGGGAGCAGGGGTGGTTAATTGGGTGACATTGAAAGATTTAAAGACTCATATATTTATAGGAAATTGCACTTACCTCATTCAACAACTATTTCTCAAGTTTCCACAGCAGGGCCCTGAGCTGGCATAGGCCCGACTGAGCTAAAAGGAGAGACGCTTGGGCACAGGCATGGCACCAGGTACATGCACACTCCTGCTGCCGCCACCATTAGCAAGACCAGAGATGGTATTCAGTGGCCTTCTTACCCCCCCGGAGCACAGCGTCCATGACAATAGTTCCACAGCTAACAGCCTGTGACCTTCCAGCAACCGAATCTGATCTAGAACTCAGAGAGCATCAGGGAGTGGACAGATGTGTTGCATGTTCCTAAGACAGTTTTTTCCTTCAGGGTTCCTTTCCTTTTTCCATGGAAGACATTTCAATTAAGTCACTCTGCATCATCTAATGAATCCCACACTTGAGGGATTGCCCTTGAGGAAAGCCCACAGGACAAAGCTGATTTTGCAGGTGTTGAGGGAGATGGCTGGCTGATCCTGTCAAGTGGCCTATGCAGGGCCTGGCAGAGAGCAGGGGCTCAATTAGGGTCACGTGCCCTCCTCCTTTCCCACCAGGTCTTTCTAACTCACTCCCATTGGTCCGTTCTTTCCACAGAGGCAGGGATAGCAGCAATGTTTCCCACCTGCCCAGAGGACTTCCCAGACACAGACCTGATGCACCAAAGCGCTTGGGCAAAGCGGATGCATCTCTTCTGCCAAGACTGTCCAGCCAGCAGGCACCTGCCAGCCCCAGACGTGTGAGTGAAAACACCCAGGAGTCCCATCTGAAAACCCTCCCCAGACCCCAAGCAGGCCACCAGGTGCCATGGTGAAGACTGCTCACCATACAGACTTTCGGGACTTCCAAAAATTCATGGAAGGTGCATATTTTGAAAACTATGCATGGGTTTTTAAATTGTTCTGCAACAAAATACACTCCTGTTTTCATTCCACTTTCCATGAATTGTTGGAAGTACCATTGTATAAGATCGTCTGTCAGAGTGGCCACGGGTGGGGCCCAGATCCAGCCTGGATTTGCTCTCCAGGTCTTGTCCTGCTATGTCCTTCTGCAGGATGGGGTGTCCATTTCCAGTCCCTACAAAGATACCAAGAGGGTAGCATGACCCTCCTCTGCCATCTGCTCTTAGGAGAACATCTGTGTGGTTTCAGTGCAGGAGAGAAAGCAGAGACTAACATGGCTGTCACCATCTGCCTGAGGTTTCATGGAAGTTAGTAAATGATGCAGCAATGAATAACACTGGCTTTCACTTACAACACGGGTGACAGGAGTTTGGTCTAGTAGCTTAAGCTGCTGCTTGGGATGCCTCCATCCTACAGCAGGGTGCCTGGGCTTCAGTCCCTGCTCCTCTCCCAATTCAGCTTCCTGTTCGTACACATCCTAAGTGGTAGCAGATGGCTCACATACATGGTTCCCTGTCATCATGTGGGTGACCAGATGGAGTTCCTGGAGCCTGGCTTCAGCCTGGCCTAGCCTCAGCTGTGCAGGCACCTGGGGAGTGAACCAGCAGATAGGTCATCTCCCCCTGTGTTTCTCTATAGAAAAATATTTATATTTGGATGGATACGTATATATTATTTGGATAATATATAATATAATGTACAAGATATATATATTTGGATAATATATATATATTTGGATGGATGGACGGATGGTTGGACAGATTGACATCTAGATCAGATATCAGTTTCTCTTTCTCTATGTATACTTAGAGAAAGGCATCTCCCTGACTTTCAAATAACATAAATGTTTAAAAATCAAAATACTCAACCTTAGGGGTGGCAACATCAATTTATCAAAGGTAAAAACTGCTTCACTTTAATCTAGCTCTGTAGGTCACAGATTTGGGGATTTTTATTTATTTTTATTGGAAAGGCAGAGCTACAGAGAAAAAATAAAGAGAATATTCCACCCACTGGTTCACTTTCCAAATGGCTGCAATGGCCGGAGCTAGGTCAGTCTGAAGGCAGGAGCATGTTTCAGGTCTCCCACGTGGGTACAGGGGCCCAAGGACTGTGAACCATCCTCTGCTGCTTTCTCACGTGCATCAACAGCTGGATAGGAAGTGGAGCAGCTGGACTCAAACCAGCACCCATTTGGGATGCCAGCACTTCAGGCAGAGGCTTAGCATAACATACCATAGTGCTGGCCCCTGTGGGTCATAGTTTAGCTTCCCCATAAAGTATGTCATTTTTTCTTTCTCCTCCTATAAAACTAATCCTGGAATTTTTTTCCTAGAATTATTTTTAATGATAATTTACTTGTTTTAAAGGCTGAGTTAGAAAAAGAAATTTTCCATCTGCTGTTCTACTCCTTAAATCGTATCAGCAGGCGGGCCAGGGCTGGGCCCAGCCAAAGCCATGAGTCGGGAGCTTCATCCAGGTGTACCACCTGGGTGCAGGGGTCCAAGCACTTGGACTACCTTCTGCTGCTTTTCATAGGCCATTATCAGACAGGTGGATCAGAAGTGGAGGAGCTGGGACTCAACCCAGCATCAACAGGCAGCCTAACCCTCTGTACCACATGTCAGCCCCAGCTCCCAGCACTTTGTAAATGCTGAATCTTCAAATCTCCCAAACGAGGTCCACAAAGAGTGACTGTCCTGCTGGATTTGGAACCCACACAGGTTCCCTTCAAGCCGTTCCTTCAGCTTGGCCGGCAGTCTTCCTCTGGTGGGTTTTTTGGTGTCCTGCATGAATCACAGTTCCCTTCTTTATGTCTCCCCTTCAGGGGAAGGAGCTGACTGCCAAGGTCAACAGAAGAAGAACCCAGGCAGACGAGAGCCAAGCCCCAGGAAGGGAGCAGGAGAAAAAGGCTCTCAGAGGAGCCGAGGCTGCTGTGGGTAAGAGAGCGTGTGTGTGAGGAACAATCCAGAAGGCTGCCAGAGCGGGGACGGGGGACCAGCCTGCATCTGAGCATCGTGGTCTCCCCATGTCATTAGAGGAGGCCCTAGAGACCTGGGGTCATCCAGCTGCATTGGAGCATATGTGATCTCATGGAATCCTCCCAGCACCTCCATGAAATAGGAGTCACTACGACCACACGCAGCAGCTGAGGCTGAAAGAGATTGGGTGACTTACACATAGACCAAATACAGCAGGGTGGTGAACCCACTCCTGGTGCATGCTCTTACCACTGCCTTGATGGACTAATACCTGAAAAACTGAGCACCTGTAATCCCAAACTCTGAAGTGTGAAGGATTCTAAGAATCTGAAAATGGGAGAACTGACGTTATGCTGCAAACAGGAAATCCCAGACCTGCCTCCCGGGACAGATCATAGTCAAAATGTAGATCACGGTCAAAAAGGTGATTTCACCGACAAGGCAGACTCGCTTTGCAAAGCACGATGCTAACTCAGTACCTGGTTCTGACCCTGACCCCAACTTCCTGCTAATGCAGACCCTGGGGGGCGGAGTTACAGAGAGACAGTATCTTCCATCCACTGGTTTACTTCCTAAATGGCCACAATGACCAGGGCTTGATCAGGCCAAAGCCAGGAGCCTGAAACTTCTTCCAGGTCTCCCACATGGGTGCAGGGTCCAAGTACCTGGGCCATCCTGCGCTCCTTTCCCAGCACACTAGCAGAGCAGCCAGGTTTTATCCCATATGGGATACCAGCATTGCAGGTGAAGGCTTAGCCTGCTATGTCACAATGCCAGCCCCTGGATTTTGTCTTTTGACATGAGTCCTATTCCCCAAGATATTTCATCATATAGGCATAAAGAGTAAAAAAAAATCTAAAATCTGAAACTTTTCTTTCCAAGTACTTTGGATAGTGGACATTTAGCCTGTCTGTCATACCAGAACATTGAGGAGCGATGGCATCATGGACAGGGACCGGACGTAACCTGAGCTCTGAGCAGTCCTCCCCACCCCCTCATTCCACCTCCGCTGCACCTCACCAGGGAGTCAGAGTCCCGTGCTGCTGAGGACTTAAGCTGTCTGCTTGGCGCGCAGGCCCTCCAGCCAGAGCACATGCTGGAGGGGGCACTGCTGGCTACCCTCCGGGCCCTGGTCTGTTTTCAGCATTTGCTTTGTAAACTGAACTTACATGTTTACAGCCCACAGCTTGGGCAAGACTGGACAAAGGTAAATTCTCGTAGTCCCCAGAGCTGCACCAGGAAGAGTCCTTAGGGCCACAGAAAGCTTTGCCAGGTTACAGGGCCACAGACGCCAAAGGCTATATCTTCCAGCTGAGCCTCTGGTCTCCTTGTGCAAAAGCCTTGTCCTCACCATAGAGCAGGGTGAAACAGAGCTGTTATATTTGTGCTGCCAAGGACAGTGGGCCCCAGTAGGGATAAGGCAGTTTCACAAAGTGTGGTCTGAAGAGTACTCTTAAAATACATGGGGTGCTTGCAGATACCCCCTGGGACAGTGTGAGAAGGTGGGGCTCAGGACTGTACACCCTGGATGATGCCACTGCAGGTGAAAACTCAACAGTTGCCATAAGGGGTGACAGAAATGGCATTCGCCTAAACCTATACCTCTGTCCCTAATTGTTCTCCCCCAGGCAAAACAAAGCCCTCAAAGGCTGAAAGGAAATCGGAGCTCACTTCCAAAGCCAAAACAGCAGGTGTGAAGAGGGGCAGGCCCCAGAAGGCAAGGGATGTGGAACTGGCGGAGTTAGCTGGGCCTCATGGCCCCGACTCCAGCAGAACAGAAGACACAGGCAGAGGCTGCTTCTCGGCCAGCCCCATCTTAGACGGCCCTTGGCTTGCTCACAAGTATGACTTTCCGGAAACCCAAGTTTCTCTCGAGGGAAGATCATCGCCCAGCCAGGCCACAGCTGTTGCTGGTCACGTGGACCCTGAAGGAGAGAGAAGCCCGGAGGAGCCACTGCAGGTAGACTGGCTATTCCCACCTGGGGCATCTTCAGAGGGGAAGGAGACAGCCCTCAAATTGTGTTGCAGAGACTGGACTAGCCGTGCAACACACTGGTTCTCTCTGTTCCACTCTGGTTAACAGACTTACCGAGTAAAGCACTCAGACCTAATCAAGGACACGGGGTGGTAGGGTCCCACTGCCGTGATGCATCCTAGGAGGCCCTGAGAGTGCCGGGGAAGGCCTGGGCAGCCCGTGCAATGCAGGAAGTGGGGGCCACACCGTCTGGGAGAGGCGCGCTTCTCCAGGACACAAGGAAAGGGGGGCTGAGTCCTGGGATGGACCTGGGGCTCCCTGAGTGCTTGCCTGCCACAGACTGTGGAAATACCTACTCTCCTCAGCTGCCTCTTGGGCATCCACAACTGGACCCGAGGCAGCTTCAGTACAAACACTGGCCTTCACTAGGTGCTTTTCCATGCCAGAGCCGCTTTGTTCCAGGACCTGGATTCTCATGTGGAGGTCTGAAGAGAAAAGCTGACGGTTAAAGCAAACTACCCTGAAAATCCCTACAGTGCAGAGAAAACACACCACTCAGATATGTCCTCTCAGCAAGACCAGCAGAACCTATTTGCCTCTGGAACAGGCTACTGTTCTGTTTTCGTTATTTTTTTTAAAGATTTATTTTATTTTTATTGGAAAGGCAGATATACAGAGAGAGACAGAGAGGAAGATCTTCTGTCTGATGATTCACTCCCCAAGTGGCCACAACGGCCAATGCTATGCCGATCCGAAGCCAGGAGCCTCTTCCGGGTCTCCCACGCGGGTGCAGGGTCCCAAAGCTTTGGGCCGTCCTCGACTGCTTTCCCAGGCCACAGGCAGGGAGCTGGAAGGGAAGCGGGGCTGCCAGGATTAGAACCGGCGCCCATATGGGATCCCGGGCGTGCAAGGCGAAAAAGAGGACCTTAACCACTGCGCCATCGCGCCGGGCCCTGTTTTTGTTATGTTTTTAAAAATACTTACTTGCTTCTTTGAAAGGCAGAGTTTACAGAGAGAAGTATCTCATCTGCTGGTTCACTACCCAATGACTGCACAGCCAGGGCTTGGCCGGGTGGAAGTCAGGAGCCAGAAACCCTACCCAGGTCTCCCATCCATGGCTGGGGCCAGCTTCTGCTGCCTTCCAGGTGAATGAGCACAGCAGGGAGCTGACCAGGAGCAGAGCAGCCAGGACTCGAATCAGCACCCATGTGGGATAGTGACATGGCTATGTCAGCCCCTATATTTCTTCCACTGAAATAAAGGTGTGAGTGGCATTTGGAGGCATTATTTTAAAGAGTATTTTAAAGTCCCACTTCCAATCCAGTTCCCTGTTAACACGTCTGGGAAAGCAGCAGAGGATGGCTCAAGGCCGTGGGCCTTGCATCCACATGGGAGAACCTAGAAGCTCCTGGCTTTGGGCAGGCCTGGCCTGTTGCAGCCATTTGGAGAGTGAACCAGTAGATGGGAGATTTCACTTGATCCTTCTCTCCATGTAACTCTGCCTATCACTTTTTAAAAAGTGACTTGAAACACTGAGCCACTATAGTTAAGCTCCCATGAGTCAGCTGTGTGTAGTGCACCTGTCAAATCGCTGGTGTCATAACCACACCTGGCCAGCCCAGCCCTGGCCATGGCAACCATCTGGGGATGCGAACCAACGGAGAGAAGATACCTTTTACTGTCTCCTCTGCTACCTCTGCTTTTTAAATAAAGAAATCTTTTTCCTTTTTTAATGTTTTATTTATGTTGGAAAGGCACATTTACAGAGAAGAGAGACAGAAAGCTGTTCCATCCACTGATTCACTCCCCACGTTTCCACAACAGCCAGAGCTAAGCTGATCCGAAGCTAGAAATTGGGAGCTTCTTCTGGTTCTCCCATGTGGGTGCTGGATCCCAAGACTTAGAGCCATCCTCCACTGCTTTCCCAAGCCATAAGCAAGGAACTAGAAGGGAAGTGGAGCAGCCAGGACATGAACTGGTGCCCATATAGGATCCCAGCACTTGCAAAGTGAGGATTTAGCCACTAGACAATTGCACTGGTCTCATAAATCTTTTTTCTTGAAAAAAAAAAAAATAAAAGGGCCCGGCGCGGTGGCGCAAGTGGTTAAAAGTCCTCGCCTTGCACGCCCGGGATCCCATATGGGCGCTGGTTCTAATCCCGGCAGCCCCACTTCCCTTCCAGCTCCCTGCCTGTGGCCTGGGAAAGCAGTCAAGGACGGCCCAAAGCTTTGGGACCCTGCACCCACATGGGAGACCCAGAAGAGGCTCCTGGCTTCGGATCGGCATAGTATCGGCCCGTTGTGCTCACTTGGGGAGTGAATCATCGGACGGAAGATCTTCCTCTCTCTCTCTCCTCTGTGTATATCCGCCTTTCCAATAAAAATAATAATAATAAATCTTCAAAAAAAAAAGTTTTAAAGATTTGTTTTTTATTGGAAAGGTAGATATACAGAGGAGACAGAAAGATCTTCTGTCTGATGGTTTACTCCCCAAGCAGTTGCAATAGCTGGAGCTGAGTCAGTCTGAGGCCAGGAGCCCAGAGATGCTTCCAGGTCTCCCATGCAGGTGCAGGGTCCCAAGGCTTTGGGTCATCCTCAACTGCTTCTCCAAGCCACAAGCAGAGAACTGGATGGGAAGTGGAGCTGCTGGGATTCAAACTAGTACCCATATGGAATCCCAGCACATTCAAAACAAGGACTTCAACTGTCAGGCTATTGCACTGGGCCCAAAATAAAACAAATCTTGAAAAAAAAAAAAACAAAACCAGAAACTGAGGTCCGTCCATTCAATCCGGGTCTCTCACATGGGTGGCAGGGACCCAGGTACTCGAGCCATCTTTTGCTGCCTTCCCAGGGGCTGCAATTCGGAGGAAACTGTGATAGAAGCCAAAGCCACGGCTCATTCTGAACCCAGGTACTCCACCATGGGTATCTCCATTACATGTCCAGGTGTCTGGCCCCACGTGCCTTATTTCAAGGAACCCTGCTAACAGCCCCACAAGTCAAACAGTATCAGGAGAAGTGCATTGTGCTCCCCAAATCCCAAAGCAAAGGTTAGGAGGGTGATGTCTGTTCCTTGGGCTGAGTGCACTGTGTCTTCTCAGGGCCTCCTCCCTAAGAGGGAGCAGCAGCAGGCGCAGGAGCAGGTGCTGGCTTCCAGGGACAGGCTGCGAATGGAGAGGGCAGAGAAGAGGCGGCTGGAGGTGGAACGGAAGAGGAGGGAACAGGAGGAGCAGAGGCGGCACCAGCAAGAGGAGCTGGAGAGAGCAGAGAGGATGAAGGAGGAGCTGGAGCTGGAGCAGCAACGCTACAGAGAGGAGATCCGGTGGGTCTAGCCTCCCCCCACCTGCCCCAGGGAGACCACGGCCATGTCAGGCAGCAGAAGGTTGGCACTGGCCTTATGAGGGGTGCAAGAAACCACAGGCTCCTTGTCCCCTCCTCTCTTCTCCCAGGAACAACTGAGATAGAAGATGCAGAGTCTGGCCCATAGAGTTCCTAGAGATGGGGAGGCTCTGAAGTGGCATCCAGCAAACACTGGCTGAACCCTCGCCCTGTGGCTATGCCATGCAGGCCCCACCAACCTGTGGAGCATGAGTTTCAAAAGTCCACTGTGTAAGAATGGGGACATGAAATTTTGAGGACTTGAGACCCAAGAGCACAGAGCTGACTACCGAAACTTCCAGGCATCTGGTCCTTGGCTCATCCATCAGGTTCTAGCCCTTTTCTGCACTCCTGGCTGCACCAGGAGCCTGTAGGTGGCCACACTTCCCTAGCATGCTTGTCTCACAGGGGAGGCCGGTGTTTTCTCAGCTTAAGGAAACAGAGACTGGAGGAGCAACAGCAGCAGCAGGAGGCAGCGGCAAGAAAGCAGCGGCTGCAGATGCAGGTGGCCCAGGAGAGAGCCCGACAGCAGCAAGAAGAGTTCCGGAGGAAACTGCGGGAACTACAGCGGAAGAGGGAACAGGAGGAAGCCGAAAGGGCTGGTGAGAAGATGCTGGGGCCCCTTGCTTCTGTCCTTGGGCACAGGGATCTGCATCCCTCTGTGGGCCATCATTTACTCCTAGCACCTAGGGCTGGTGTGTGAAGCCCTGTGGATGCACATGCTGGTTTCTTCCAAAGTGATGACTTGCGGTGACTGCACAGTATCTTGAGATCAGACTAAAGTAAGACTGACCTGAGCCAATGACTCCAGGCCTGCTCCCAAGTTCATAACCTCCTGAATAGAGACCTCCCTGTCCACCCTTTGGGGCCACCAAAACTGGAGCCATCGCCCTGCCCCCTGCTTCCTTCTCTAGCAGATGGGCACAGGCATCCAGAGAGCTTCCAGTACATTCTCTCCAGCCCGCTTTGTTTCTTCTTTTGTTCTTTCTAGCCTGGTTTTGGGGGAGAGAGCAGGAACTTCAGCAGGTAAGACGACAGCCACTTCCTGCTTCTGCCTCTCAAATGCTCACCTGGGCGAGCACCAAGTTTTTCTGGACTCTGATTTTATACTAGTCCCCACTGCCTATCACACCATAAACACAACAGGCTCTGGAAAATTCTCCCCCAAATCTACAAGTTGCACAGTACATGGGACACAGCAGGTGCTCGATGGACTCAAATTAGTGAATTACCTCTGCCCTCCCCTAGGTAATCACAGAGGATCTCTAAGTTCCTCACAAGGAAACCCTAGGAATCAAACTGGACAGTTAGAGCAGCAAATTCCTTTTCCCAACGATGCCCCCTACCAAGTCCAGCCCTTGTCTGTTCTGCAGAGGCTGAGAGGCAAAGGCAGAAGGAGCTGGAAATGCAGTTGGCAGAAGAGGAGAAGCGCCTGATGGCAATGGCTGAGGAAGAACGGCTGGACTACCTGAGGCGCAAACAGGAGGCAGAGGAGCAGGCCGCGCGGGAGGCCGAGCAGAGGCGGCTGAAGGAGGAGGAAGTGGCAAGGCTGGCTTCGGAGGAGGCCCTGCAACAGGCCCAGGAACATGCCAGGTACTAGGCACTTGGGGTGCCTATTTAGGGTTTAGTAGCCTGGGCACAGCCCTTTAGACAAGCAGCCTCCCCACTCCCCACAGGCATGGTTTGCTGCAGACATCACAAGTTCCTTCGCGGTGTGGAGAACTTGCCTTGGCACTTTAGAGCTCATTTAGCTCAGTCTTCTGGTTTCCAGATGAGAAAAGCCAAGTCCCAAGACAGGATTTGGATGAGGGCCAAAGGGAGAATTGGGGGCACCCCACAACTAGACCTTAAGACACCACAATTCCAAACCCACTGTTCCTCAAAGTATTGTGTACCATGGGCCAAGCACTGCTAGCTTCTGGGAACTCCAGAGTGAGCAAGACAACGTCTCTTCGCCCATGGTGTCTATATTCAGGGAGCGGGCATGGACAGATGCTCATTATTCTTCAGCTAGCAACAACGAAATACTACACAGAAAATTTAAAACATGCAATAGGGTAATAGAAACTTATTTTAGACTGGTTTGTCACAGCAAGACCTCTCAGAAGAGGTGTTACATAATGAACTCCTTGAAGGATACGGAGCTAGCCCCATAAATATCAAGAGAAAAGCGCTCCAGCAAATGGAGTGCACAGGTTCAAAGAAGTGACACTAGCATGTTCAAAGGATCAGCCAGCAAGGCAGGGAATGAAGTGATCAAGGCACAGGAACTGTGTCCACCTGTGGTCAGGAAGGTCGGACTAGATCTAAGGACGCCTTGTTAGAATACACGGGACCGACACCTTCCTCCCCCTCCTCCTACAAAGTCATTGCATTTTTTTCCATGAACAGAATTTTAGTCACTTGGTCTCTACTGACCCTCTAAACACTAGGGCCTCTGCAACTGTTATACTGGGAAATTGCCCTCCTCGGTGAAAGCAAAGGACAGCCATTCCCTTTCAGAACCATCAAAACTGAAGGGTCAGAAGGTACAAGCCCAGGGGTGGGGAGCGAGGATTCCAACCTTCACCATAAACACGTTTTCCCATAAAATGTGCTTTCCACAACATAAACAATCTAAGAGGATACTCATTAGGCGACTAGGAAAAGGCTACCAGAACAACTCTGCTACAGTTTATCACTACCCAGAGTTGTTCCTCAGCTGTTGAGTACCACAAAATGGATTATCAAAATATTAATTTCAGAATTACACAATCCATGTCCTGTAGCAAGCTATCAAGAGGTCTCCCTTTTACTTAAAAAAAAAAAAAAAAAAAAAAAAAAAGCCACTTTAGTGAAAACTGACCAGAAAAGCAAGGACATAAAAGCAGAGGCAAAGCCTGATACAGCCTGATTTGACTGAGGAATGGAAGCTGGTGGCAACTGGCCTTACTGCCTCCTGTGTGACAGGAGTCCAGATATGCCAGGCTGCTCAGCCAGGGCGCCTGCCACCCTAACAATGTCAGCTTTGGTTTTCACAAGGCTCATGACAATCAATGCATCTTTTGTGAAGTTACTAAATGAAGAGTACAATCCTTCACTAAAACCAAAGAACCACTGGCCCAGTCTGATGAGCACTCAAACCAAACTCCCGGTTTATAACAATTTCTAGGTTGCTTACCCATGCTGGTAACTGGGGTGGTTCTCTCCTCAGACAAAGAGCTGCTTTGGAGAAACGTCGTCTTTTCCATCAAGAACTCCAGAAGGAAGCCAGTGGCCTGCAGTGGACACACAACATCTCTCGACCCTGGGTTTACTCTTACTTCCAGTTCCTACAAATGCCCAGACCTTAAGACTAGCAGAAAACAGAAAAAGTAAGTGGGGACATACTTGCTTTATAATCAGATTCTGTCCTGGGCCCAGTCTGGTTCACCTCAACCCACAGCTAAGATGTTCTCTGCTTTGTAACCTCCTTTCCCACCACCTCTCCAGTACCACGCTTCAACAGTCACTTCTTCACTCAATCCTTTGCTTTTTAGAAACACATAAATAGGTGCCTAAAACTGCCCATGACTTCATAATTCGCTTTAAGCAGTAAGATGGTCTCAGGATATTCAAGGTGTTTCACTTTCATGTGTCTGAATAAGCTAAAAGTAGCATTTTAAAGGCAAACAGTAATTTTCAATTTGCTGAGAGGAAGTGATTCATACTCGTTTATTCGCATAACATTTATTGTAAATCTCTTTATAAAGCAAAACTAAGCCATTTCATTCTAAGAATCTAAGATTTAATGTCTATTTAAAACAAAGTGTTTATAAATCCCTTGATGAACAGAGTTGCTTCATGAGATTCATGTCCTCAGACTGCAGAGCAGCGTTGGGAAGATACCTGAACAGTCACATGTAGCTAAACAGTCTGTCGCACTAGCCACTTTTTAGTGCTCAATGGCCAGACATAGTTGGCAACTACTATATAACAGAGACTTGCATTAGCAAAGTTCTATGGGACTGAATTATTCTGGAGCCCTGAAAATTAATTTCTTTTTTTGTACCTTCCTGTGCCTTGAAGAATCAGTGATTCATATAATTTCCCCATCTAGGGGTGAACATTTGGTACAGTAGTTAAGACACTGTGTGGGACACTCATGTGTCAAACTGGAATGCCCAGTTTGAGTCTCAGCTCCTCCACTTCTGCCCAGCCTCCTGCGAGTGTACAATCTGAAAGGGAGCTGATGTCTCAGGTACTTGACCTCCTGTCACCCATGAGAACCATGTGGAGTTCTGGGGTGTTGGCTTCAGCCTGGCCCAGCCCTGGCTGTGCCAGTTATTTGGGGAAGTGAAGTAGGAGGCAGAAGATCTTGCTCCCTGCCTTTCAAATGAAAAGAGGACCAAAAGAGTGTTAAATAAGATAAAATAACTGAGCCTAAATTCTCCTTTGGCATTACTGTACTTCTTTATTCTCCACAGCTAAGAAGCCGACAGGTAATCTGCTCTAACTTTTCAATAATATTCACAGGCATTTACTTTCTAAAGATCTGCTACAACCCAGAAATTGTACTTATTTTGGATTCTCTACTGCTATTATTAGACCTGCTTAGATCTGATGCTTACTTTAACTCCTTGTTTTTAGGTAAGATGAAGTAGAAATAAAATGAAAATACACAAAATGCTAGGTATCAATCCTGGTGAATTTAAATACACAACTTCAACCTTTTCAAGCTTGCCAACCCTACTGGAACATTCATTCAATAGTACTTCATCAGATAAGAAAAGAGCAGCTCAAACAACCCAAGAACAGAATAAGCAAAGAAAACATCCTTGTGGGGAAAATTACCATTATTCACTTTATTTTCTCCCTCCTATTACAATCTCAGATGTTCTAGTCAAGGACGAGAGAAAGTAGCTATGCCAAATGTTACTCGAGGTCTTTCCAATCAGATACCCAGCAGTACATTTTTGCCATGAAACTCCTGTTTTATGAGCTCTATAATACCTGATAAGCATTTGTAAGGCAAACATAGCAGGGTGCAATGCAATCTGAAGAATGAAAAACTAAAAACGACTCCCCAGAACTTAAGTAAGTGCCACCACCTAAATGCTAACAGCCTTCATACACTTACAGTCCCAAACAGAATTAAAGCTAGCAATTCATGCAATGTGGATTAACTCAACTAGCCAGTGTGGTTTGTTATTCAATCTCTCAACAGAAGTACACAACTCAAAAGGGTTTTTTTTAAAAAACGGACCTAATTCCTAATCACTAGAAAAGAATATAATTGCCAGTTTGAAGCTTAATTTATACAACTAATTTTTCAACTACAGTCAAACATAAGAATGTATAACATTGAGTGAATCGGATTTTCAGCAGGTGACTTGAATAGCTGTAAGTTTGTAAAATGCTTTCAAAATATGTTCAAGGTCAATTCTCTAAAGTACTCTGCTGACATTCTATTAGGAGTAAAATGAGCTGAGTTATGTCTGTATAGGTATACTGAACTTGATTCATGAAAGTTAAGAGGAAAAAATCAAGTCCTCTGATAAGAACAGACTAATGTGTGGCATTTTAATTTCACAGTGTTTAGATATTTGACATAAAGAAAAGGAAAATAAAACATACCAAACCTTAACTAAACAGAATGTCTTACAACTGCTGAACTGAAATAACCAATATGAATCAATTTTTCGTGTGTCCATTTATTCAATACGATTGAGTAACTATTCCATACATGTACCATATAGGAATATCAAGTTGTTAAACAGAACTCTGAGTATTTTGAAAAGGTATTGTGGCCTTAATTAAATCCTTGGTTGAGAAGGCACTTCAGTAACTTTCAGTGCTTCAGAGTTATTAACACCACTGTACAGTACTGGAGAAAATCCTATGTGCAAACAATTTCCAGTATTATACAAGAAAACCTTTTCTGTTCTTTTCAATTAAAATAAAATAAGCAATAGTACGGTTTTTACAAATATTGTTTATTTTAATGAAGCTGGTACAGACAACGTCCATTTAAAACCCATATCCCAGGCCAAAAAGTACAAATAAAATCAAAAGGAGCAGTGTTCTGTTGTACGCACTTCCGCATGAATAATTTTTTATTATCTGGTTATGAAAACCAGAACTTTTCTGGGATCTTCTGACAAGGTTTTTTTTTTTTGAATCTTAAAATGCTTTCTCTTCAAGTGATGCCATCTTTGGAGTTAGTCATTTCTTTCACCAAATCTGTCATCTTGACTCCAATCTGATCATCTTTTGGTCCAGATCCTCAGATTTTTAAAAGTAGCTTCAAGTTAAAGGTCATTTTTCCACAGTTCCATTCTCTGAAAAACTTCCATCTCCCACTGAAAGTCACAGTCCAGGAGTGAAGCCATCACCTGGCAGAATCTCAGGGCCAATTAGGAACACTGGCGTGGGTCGCTCTTACTTAACCCCACAAGCCTGAAATGCACAGTCCTGAAGGAGGAGGCCTCTGTGTACACTGATTTTACAACAGCGGGCCCGAGGGAGGGGCTAAGGCTTGATCACCCAAGATCAGCACAAAGGAAACAATGAGCAGTGAGCACTAAAATTCAAATTACCAGATGTTTGAGAGAGATGGGGTGCCAGTTTTCAATGCCATTTTGAACACATTACAAAAGAACTATTTTTAAAAATAAAAAAGGATTAAGGGAAAAGCAAAAAAATAAAAATTATCTAAATCGTTGAATGACCACCTGTTTGTTCCTGATAAACTTCAATCACATCTTCTTCCTCCATTCCCAGCTGTAAGAGGAAAGAGAAATGAGTAAATATAAAAACATTTAAATATTCACATTTAATATTTTTAAATGAGCTCTAACTAGGTAGCCACCATTTTAAAAGCACTGAGGTGCAAATGTGACCCACAGTTACACCCGGAAGATTTGAGCTTTTCTTAAAAGATTTTCAAGATCTGGCTTCCTAATTCTGTGTACTCACTCCTCTTTACTCACCTGAATCCATGTGACTGCCATATTCATTTGCTGTACACAACTGAAGTGTCTTTGACAAGTATATTAAAGTTGGAAATCTAATGAAAATCAATCGCTGAATGCTTTGGTTTTTAAAACACATTTTACTTTTAAAAGCATTTAAGTTTTTGTCTCCTTCCTCAAAAAAGAGACCCTCTCATTGGTTCTCTCCCAAATGGCTCTGATGTCCAGAGCTGGGCAGATCCAAAATCAGGAGCCAAGAGTTTCTTTGAGATCATCCACATGGGTGCAGGGGCCCAAGGACTTGAGCCATCCTCCGCAGCTTTCCTAGGCCTTTAGCAGGGAGGTGGATCAGAAGCAGAACAGCCAGGAATCGATTTGGTGCCTGTATGATATGCCAGTACCACAGGTGGAACATTAGCCTACTATAACAAGATACCCAGCACCCGAAGTGTCCTTACTTGACAGAATACCATCTCTATTAAAAAAAAAAATTAAAATGTGATTTATAAAAACAGGGTCCTGGGCCTGGCACGGTGGCGCATGTGGTTAAGGTCCTTGCCTTGCACGCCCGGGATCCCATATGGGCTCCGGTTCTAGTCCTGGCAGTCCCGCTTCCCTTCCAGCTCCCTGCCTGTGGCCTGGGAAAGCAGTCGAGGACGGCCCAAAGCTTTGGGACCCTGCACCCGCGTGGGAGACCCGGAAGAGGCTCCTGGCTTCGGATCGGCATAGTATCAGCCGTTGCGGCTCACTTGGGGAGTGAATCATTGGACAGAAGATCTTCCTCTCTGTATATCCACCTTTCCAATAAAAAAAATAATAAAAATAAATCTTAAAAAAAAAATAAAATTCCTTCCTTTGGGGCCATCACTATGGTATAACAAATTAAGTTTTCACCTACAGTGCTATATTCCACATGGCCACCGGTTCTAACCCCAGCTGCTTCATTTCCAATCCAGCTCCTTGAATATAGCCTGGGGAAACAGCAAATAATGGCCCAACTGCTTGGGCCCCTGAACCCACATGGGGGACCCAGCAGAAGCTCCTGGCTTCAGACTGGCCCACCCCCTGGCAACCTTTTGGAAAATGATCAAATAGATGGAAGATTTCTCTATATCTCCCTCTTGCTATAGCTGTACCTCTTTCAAATTTTGAAAATAAACTTAGTGCTCATTAAAAAATACTTGGGGGACCCGCGGCGTGGTCTAGTGACTAAGTCCTTGCCTTGAATGCACTGGGATCCCATATGGGCACCGGTTCTAATCCCGGCAGCTCCACTTCCCATCCAGCTCCCTGCTTGTGGCCTGGGAAAGCAGTTAAGGACGGCCCAAAGCCTTGGACCCTGCACCCATGTGGGAGACCTGGAGGAGATTCCTGGCTCCTGGCTTGGATCAGCACAGCAC